AATGATTCCTTCCACTGTTACCCACTGTCCTGGCTATAGATTGCTCTATAATAATCACCCCAAATTTGAGTGGCTTGTTTTCCTCATGGATTTGCAGCTGGGGTAGCTAACATCCACTTGCAAGATGGCACACTCACATGGCTGGCAAGTTTGGTGCTGGCTGTCAGCAGCAAGTTCAGGGCTTTGGTTCCTTTACACATAGGCTTTTACTCAGGGCTGCTTAGACCTCCTCACAACGTGGCAGCAGAGTTCTAAGGGTGATAGGAAGTGTCAAGTGACAGGAAGAGGCTGCAGGTCTCTTACAAGCCTGGGCCTGCACATGTCACTTTGGCCCTATTCCATTAGCCAAGCCATCACAAATCCACCCAGACTGCAGGGGAGGGGATGTAGATGTCACCTCTTGAAGGGAGCAATGAAGACCCATTCTTAGCATTTGTAACCTACCACATCCACAGATCTCCCTTTTCCCCCATGTGTCCCACACCAGGTTGTCTGTGTCAGACAGTGAGGAGTTTTACACTAATGGCCAGGCTTTCCCTATCTCGCTGCCTGTTTTTCCTCAAAGTACATATTCTGAGAACAGTCTTCAACAACTACGTCTATAGCTCTAGCTTTCCCCATGTTTCTTATTACCAAATATCTCTGTGCAGTGTGGGGACCTGAAGTGGTTGTTTTTCCCCAAAAGCAAACTCAACCAAAGGCCAAAAGGACCTACCCACGCCTTCGTGGTGGGACCTACCCACCAAGAAGATGAATGCCTTCTTCTCCTGGTATGAGATCCTATGATAGGAAGGGTTCTAGAAAGACCAAAGCCCAAGGCTCCTGGCATGAAAACAACAACAGTCCACTGAATCCTTCCTAAAAACCCTGTTCTGCACACTGAGAAGTCATTAGCCCTGTGCTGCTTCCTGTGTGATGCAATAAAACCTCCTTGTCTGCAAAATCCTGTAGCTATCTAAACATCACATGTATAGGGGATGACACCCTTTTTGTACCCAAGGGGAACGTGGATACTAGCCAGGCAGAGCCATATGTCCACTGAGTCATGGGACAGGGAAAGAATCCAAATGAGTTCTGCTCTACAAAAACCCTAGCATTGCCCGAGGGAGCCCAGGGGTGAATGACACAGACCTGGCCAGATCGTCCAGGTTAAGTGCCGTTCCTCACTAACAACTGGGTGACCTTGGCCAAGTTGTGCGACGTCTCTAAACCTCTCTTTCCTCATTTACAAGGCTGAGATAAAAATGGCACCCTCTTCATGGGGTTATTATGAGGGCTTATAAACACTAAACAAAATGCCTTAGTTTAGGTAGTTAGAGCTTGGTGACTATTACTAGTGATTATCTGGCTAAGAACTCCTCCTTGACGTATGGAGAGGAGCGAGGGAGACTGGTTGGGGGGGAGAGCCTATATTTCTAGATGAAACTTTCTTTCTGACTCATCCTTTCAAAGCAGTTCCTTGTCAGGGGTCCGATGCCCTGAAATTCCATTAGGCTCTTCCTTATTACCAATAGCATAACCCAAATGTTGAGTGGGTTCACTTTTTAACAACCCCACAGCTATTCTTCACCTTGGGAGGCAATGGGGCTAGAGGTACTACAGAGCCAACCAAGTGCATCCTTGTACTTGCCTAGCAGTTAATGCAAAGTTAAGGAAAACCTTGTGCTCCACTGTGGGCTCTGGGGAATCAAATGTGAGAGAAAGCCAAAGAGGCTAAAGGGAAGTTCTTTGGGAAGAAGATATGAAAGCAGCAGCTCTGAGGGGGCCTGCCACACAAAACAATGCCTGTTATGAAATCTCAAGACTCATTAAGTCAAGGTACGTGGCAGCCCCTCCCTTTTCCTCCACCCTTTCCCCTACCCAGCACTTGCACCTGCTTGCTCGCTCTCTCTCTCTCAAAGAAACAAACAAAAAACAATAAAATTCCAGATCATCATTTTCCTTGGGCCCAAAGTGAAAAGAGTCAGGTATAGAGAATTGAGCTCCATCCAACAAAGTAGTCCAAGACTCTTTTATATACATTCAGCTGTCTCAGAGCCCAATGGGGGCATGGTTGCCATGACAACCAATGCATGACTAAGGCTTTAGCATAACTTTTGAAATCCTATTTCCAAGAGGATTCTTTATAGACAACCTTGAAGAACACTGTTTTGTGGTTATAAAAATCAGAACAGAGTGGTTTCAAGGTTGACTTCTTATTTAAGGACCTGTATTCCAATGGATGTTTTTAGTTGTCAGATTTTATCTGCACTATACTGAAAAGGAAAGAAAGAAAGAAAGGAAGGAAGGAAGGAAGGAAGGAAGGAAGGAAGGAAGGAAGGAAGGAAGGAAGGAGGAAGGAAGGAAGGAGGAAGGAAGGAAGGAAGGAAGGAAGGAAGGAAGGAAGGAAGGAAGAAAGAAAGAAAGAAAGAAAGAAAGAAAGAAAGAAAGGAAGGAAGGAAGGAAGGAAGGAAGGAGGAAGGAAGGAAGGAAGGAAGGAAGGAAGGAAGAAAGAAAGAAAGAAAGAAAGAAAGAAAGAAAGAAAGAAAGAAAGAAAAGAAAGAAAGAAAGGCAAAAAAAACCCCAGCTTCTGATTTTCCCCATGTTACTTTCTACTACCAAATTTTTTTAAAGTTTGTTTATTTATTTTGAGAGAGAGAGAATTCCAAGTAGGCTCTGCACTCTGCATGGAGCACAAAGCAAAGCTCAATCTCATGACTGTGAGATCATGACCTAAGTGGACATCAAGAGTCAGATGCTTAACTGAATGAGCCACCCAGTTGCCCCTCCATTACCAGCTCTTAATTAAGAAGCTTGAGGTCTCTGGCTCTGGTGGAGAGTTAGCAGTTAGAGCTTAACAGAAACAACATTTTTGTAGACATGTAGAGCTTAATAAAACAATATAGATTTTAAGAAATGATAAAAATTCTGCCTCTGCAGGGTTCATCAGAGGTGAGCTCCAGGGACTCAAAACATACCAGATTATGTCAGCAGTTTGGGGTATGGTGGAAATGGTATCTCAAACTACACATACACAGTTAGTATCCTAGAGGATGGTGGAAAGGTAACAAGGACCAGGTCTGCTCTGCATGTGCTGGGAACTTTACAGTCATTACTTAATCTTGCCCTCACAGATTTCTAGCAAAGTGTTATTGATTCAACTTTACAGATGAAGAAACTGAGGTTCACCAATATTTAATCATTTGTTCAAGGATGCACAGCTATGGAGCCAGGACTTGAGACACCTGCTCTTTTTGGCCCATAAGCCCGTGTGTTCAACCAATAGGGCCATTATGTCTCTAGTTGCAAGAACAGGGCCTGGGAGGCATGAACCGCTATCGAAGTTTAGTAATAGGAACTGCTTGCTCTGCATGAGGTCACAAGCTCAACTGCCTACAGGTCAGGTAGCATAAATGAGTATTGTGTGTTGGGTGAAAGATATTGGGCAATGGGAGACTGGCAGAAACTGAGAAATGGAGACCATCTTCTGTCTAAAAAGGGTGCCCCTAACCATCTCCACCCAATTATCAGTATTGCATCTACCAACATTTTCAAGAGAAAACTGGAAATCTGATTTTCATGTGAAAACTTTTCACTTTGATAAAATGGCCTCGAAGTCATTGTCAGCCCCTACATGCCAAACAACACTAACTGGGAGTTATTTAGTGTCCTCCACACTCTGGATTAAATCCTCCATGACAGTAAAACCTCTATCTGTCTTCTTAACGCTCATAGCCCCCCGCACCAGCACCGGGTATACGAGCTTAATGAATATATGTATAACAAATGAATGAACCTCAAATCAACAATCTGGAAAGACATAAAGAAGGACCAAGCCCTAGCTCTTGAATGAGAGTCCTTTCCAGAGCTATGGCTGCCCTGACGGGTAGGAAAGAGACAAGGCAGTGGCTGAAACCACTCACTTCCCAGCAAGTTTTGGTGGAGGGCAGAAGGTTGCTCACATTTTTCCTTCCATAAAGCAAAGTTGACTTGAGAACTAGAGGAGACAAAACCACCCCCCAGAAGCTGGGGTTATCAGGGCAGGGAGGGCTAGGAAACCTGAGCTGTCTCCTAACCTAGTTCTTTTCCAGTACATTCCCTACGCCCCAGTTATCCAGTCTGTGAAATGAAATAGATGGGGCATAACAAGTCCAAAAGATGCAGGAAAACAATGAATTAATGGATGGTAAATTACTTGGTAAAATTTTTTACAGAAAAACATGCCTAGAAATATGGTCTCAAGAAGATTCCCTTCGTTGGAGATCCTTAAATATCTCTGGTTAATAAGTTAGATGAAGGATATCAACAAGGGGGTTTCCCAATAAAAACCTGCCAAAATCTCCGTCTGCCTTAATCTAGTCTCAAATGTGAAAGGATCTCATATTCTCTGTGCTTTGAATGCAGCTATATGTTTTTTAATAACCCAAAATCAATAGTTAAACAAAAACTAAGTTCTCACGAAAAGTTTCCAATTCTGAAACTTAAACTCCAATATATTTCTCTATAAAGCAGACCTCTTTGGCAGGACCTTTGCTCTGAGACAACAAAGGGAATCTTTTGCACCCAAACTGTCACCAGCTGCCACTGGCCAGAATGGCAGCCCAGTGCCTGGGCTTCCCTCATGGGCCTGTGACCAAGGTCTCCCAAGCCCCACTATTGGCATGCTGACATTTGAGGTTACCCACCTTCTCTCTGCACCCCAGGAAACACATTCCCTTCCTAGCTTCAGAGGAGCTGGTCTTTCTCTGGCTCCCGTGTTGGGATTGTGATTGAACAATATAATTTTTTTAAACTAAGGAGACAGTATTACTCAAGAGCCAACTGTCCTTTCCAACTCTTCCTCATCCTGGAGATGAGCTTTGCTTGCCATCTTTATTAAATAGCAAAACACTCCCCTCTAAGCAACCCACCAGGGACCACTTATGATGATATTAAAACCACCAACTCCAGCTTCCGATCATCCCAGAAGTGTTCCCCAAAGCACCGTATCATCTTATGGTTTCAAAAATAAGAATACCGACCTTTAGGAACAGTGGGAGAAGATTCAACAGGCTCTGCTGATGTTCAGCGGGGCTTCCGTGAGCCAACTGCTGGTATTCCAGAAACTTCCTTTCTAGCATCTCCCAGAGAGCAGTGGGACCCGGAGACTGCCCTCCATGTGGAAAGTCAGGCTGAGCAACATCAGGCTGGCCTTCATTTTTGGAACCTGGACACTCAGCTCTGTCCTCAGTTCTTGAAACATCTTCTGCCTCCATGCCTTAGCAAAGCAGATCTGAATTCAGAACAAAAAACAAAAATGTAAAGTCCTGTCGCAGCACTTCCTGATGAAGCTGATTGTGAGACAAGGTACTGTACTCATTCGGTTCAGTTCCTATTGAGGATGGTTCCTCTAAGAATATGAAACTGACTGAAATAGGAAGACTTTTTAAAAAAGAGATTCTGACTTACATGTGACTTATATTGACAATCTCACTTGTGTCAGGCATTGCTTGCTGGACTCTACACAGATTCATGAGAGAGATGGGCACTCTTATTTTCTCTATGTAAGGAAGGAAATTGGCTGGGCCAAAGGCATATGCGCAGGTAGATGTCCAGTTAAAATGCAAACCTTTAACATCAAAGCTTGTTTTTTATTTTTATTATGTGATGCAACACCTCTTTTAAAAAGCAGAGTAAGTAGAAGGGAGATATGTAAACACCTCTCCAGTATTTGTACAAGCATGCAATTCTGTATCTTCAATTGTAACTTCCTCCTACCACATGAGTCTAAAAGGATATAGGTTTTTCATTCTCAGCATTATTTGGTTTATATTCAATATTTTTAGAGAACTTTGTCCTCAGAAAGACTCTAAACCCCCATGCTAACTTAAAGAGCTCCTTTATTAGTGCACACACGGGTGATTTGTGCAAGCTGGAGATCGTGGGTCAGTAGACATGAGGACAAGAATGTATGCAATGAAAATAGCCAAAGATTGGGGCGCCTGGGTGGCTCAGTCAGTTAAGCGTCCGACTTTAGCTCAGGTCATGATCTCACGGTTTGTGGGTTCAAGACCTGTGTGGGCTCTGTGCTGACAGCTAGCTCAGAGCCTGGAACCTGTTTCAGATTCTGTGTCTCCCTTTCTCTCTGACCCTACCCTGCTCACACTGTCTCTCTCCCTCTCTCAGAAATAAATAAAACATAAAAAAAAAAATTAAAAAAAAAAAGAAAATAGCCAAAGACTGATTTGCCAGATGGGTAACCTTGAGAAGGCACCTTTATTTGCATCCTTGACTTTTTCAGTTGTCCCAGTCTTTAGTTGAGTCACGACTGACTCACAGCACAACAAATACTTGTTTGTTGTTTGTCAGGAGTACGGGAAACTCCAAGCAGAGCCCAGAATGTTCAGCTTTCTTATGAGAAGCCCTCTTCAACCACAATGTCACCAGGCAGGACTCCATCCTGGAGTCTGCTTCGTGACCAATAACCACCAATCATGGGGCAGTGACCAGACGGGTGGGCACAGGAGATGGACTGGCCAATAGTTTGCTCTGGGCTACGACATCTGAGGGGGTATGTCACACTTTATTTTTAGCCCAGTACATACCCCCCTGCAGGCTAGAACGGGGGTGAACTAAGGGCCATGTGACCAGACGAACTATCCCTCTTTGAATCATTCTCCCCCTTTATGTACACAACTCCATGAGTCCCTGATGCTTCTTCCAACACACGCACTTACTACTTCATTTTCTTGTTACAAAAACCATGTAACAGTTCATGTCAAAGTAGGAAGGAACAGAGTATCAGGAAGCATATCAGGTATTGAAGTAAAAAGCAAACCGACCTTGAAAATTCCCTGAGTGGACAAAATCAGTTCAGTCCGACAAGCAAAGCTTAATTTAACTTATTTTGCAAACCTAACTTGATCTGAATCATTTCTTGCTTAGACCTCTGAAAATCAGAAACAAAACTTAAACCATTTTCCAAGACTGATATGAGGCAACCGCTGACCAATTTCCTGTCATTTCAGAAAATTCTAATATTATAACCAATCACTGTGAAAAATAATCAGTGCCCTCTCCCTATATAAGCTGCTTTATAACAATATACACCTGAGCAAAGTGTTTCCACTTGGCAAACTTGTCTTTTTTGGTATGTGCAGAGTCAGTTTTCACTGATTAGTACTTCAGTGATTCATTGGTTTTACTTTGCCTATTTCTGAGCCTGCGACACTAACTTGCCCCTTCCCAGAAAATGATTGTTGATATTCCGTGTTTATCTATGAATATGTTGTTTGATTTAAAAACAAACAAACAAACAAACAAACATAAGCATAAGGGCACCGGGGTGGCTCAGTCAGTATCCAACTCTTGATTTCAGTTCAGGTCATGATCTCATGGTCTGTGAGTTCCAGCCCTACATCGGGCTCTGCGCTGATAGTGTGGAGACTGCTTGGGATTATCTCTCTCTCCCTCTCTCTTTTTTCCTCCTCTGCTCGTGCACTCTCTCAAAATAAATAAACTTTAAAAAAAACCATGCTCCTAATATTGTTGAAGCAAACTTTTTATTTATACTTTTTGCTTTTGATAGTTGGTTAGCTGGGGTTTAATAGGAGTTTTATTGGTTTCCTTTGTTGGGTTGACCCTCAGGGGCAGGTGGTGAGGTGCCACACATTCCAGCACAGTCTTCCCTGAGCTGGACCATGTTCCTGGCTGGCTTTGTCAGTTTATTCACTTATTTTTTAGCCTTCCTTTCCCCACTCACATTCCCTTCTTCCCCATCCCACCCACCTCACCTGCTTAACAAATGGGTCTTTATAAAACATGACATAGGCGGGGGGCTCCTGGGTGGCTCAGTCAGTCAAGCACGTAACTTCTGCTCAGGTCATGACCTCACAGTTCATGAGTTAGAGCCCCATGTCAGGCTCTGTGCTGACAGCTCAGAGCCTGGAGCCTGCTTCAGATTCTGTCTCCCTCTCTCTCTCTCTCTGCCTCTCCCCACCTTGTGCCCTCTCTCTCTCTCTCTCTCTCTCTCTCAAAAATAAACCTTAAAAAAAAAATGACACCAGTGACATGATTTCTGAATACAGGCATTTTGAGTCCTTGAATGACCTTCTGCATCTTTTCTGCAGCTCACTTTTTCACTCAGCATTGTGCCTTGAGACCTAGCATGTGCCTCTGTGTTTGTCAGCTGTGTTCCTTCCAACTACTGCCTCATGTTACAATATGGGCAACGCATGCCTCTTTGATTTTTCGCTCCATGGTCATGGCCAGATTGCCCATGACTTCCTGTACTACACTCAGTTTTCTCCCAGATATTCCCATGTGAGCCCCTTCATGGGGCTGTGCTAAGTCAAGGGTATACACCTGCTTCATTCAACTAAATACCATGAACTAAGATGCTTCCAGAAAGCTGGCACCAGGCCACACTTTCCCCACAGGCTCCTCTACCATCTCACCAATTACCCACCCTCTAATGTTTGCCAATCTGATTGAAGTAAAGTGATACCTCTTTGTCATTTTAATTTGCATTTCTCTAAGGAGTCTGAGCATCTCAGATGCCTGTTAGCTCTTCGCAGCTCCTCTTCTGTGAACTGACTATTCATAACCTTTGCTTGTTTTTCCTTGACTGTCTTTTTCTTGTTGCTTTGAGAGAGTATATTCTATTTTTTTTTAATGTTTTATTCATTTCTAGGAGAGAGAGAGAGACAGCGTGAGCAGGGGAGGGTCAGAGAGAGAGGGAGTCACAGACTGAAACAGGCTCCAGGCTCTGAGCTGGCAGTCAGCACAGAGCCCGACACGAGGCTCGAACCCACGAACCGCGAGATCATGACCTAAGCGAAAGTCGGACGCTTAACCGACTAAGCCACCCAGGCGCCCCTGAGAGAGTATATTCTAGAAACTTGTCCCTTGTTGGTTTTACAAATCACAACTATCTCTTCTCAATCTGTTTTTCTTATAACTTAGTTTATCATTTTTTTGTCACAAAAAAGTATCATGAATCTTTTCCATGTTGCTAAAGGTCCTCTACATCTTCATTTTGTTTTATTTATTATTTATTTTTAAGAAAGATAGAGAGGGTGCAAGATGGGGAGGGACAGAGAGAGAGAGAGAGAGAGAGAGAGAGAGAGAGACTCTCAAGCAGGCTCCACGCCATCAGCACAGAGCCCAACGTGGGGCTCAAACTCACGAAACTATGAGGTCATGACCTGAGGTGAAATCAAGAGTCAGATGCTTAAGCGACTGAGCTACCCAGGAGCCCCCCATCTTCACTTTGAATGACTTACAGTGGCTGTAGAGCCATGCTGATCGTTCATGTCATTAATCCCCTAAACTTGGGTATTTAAGTAGCTTCAAATTATTCACTACTATAAACAATACTATAATGATAGACCTTGTGTCTAAGCCTTTCTGTATAGCCATGATTAAATAATAGATTTAATACATTCTTAAAGCTCCTAGAATGGAAATAGCTGGATCTTGACACATATTTCCAAACCACTTCTCCTTAAACACTGCATAAATGTATAGGCCTCTGACCAAGAAGTGTTCACACTTCCTTACTTGTCATTTTTCAATTCCTGCTCATTTGGTAGGTTACAAAGCAAGAGTATCATGCTCCCCGCAGCAGCACGTGCACACACACAAAAACAATGGCCTCTCTGTTGCATCTCACCGCATATTCTGCGGTACTCTTTCTGTCTGGCTGCTGCTCAGTCTCCTTCAGGGGCCCCCGCAGTGGTTTTCTGGAGTCAGATGTCAAGTGTTCTCATTTCCTGCCTTCCCTATAGAAGATCTCAGCTACTCACCTGAGAGCCTTGTATGTATGGAAGTCACTGCACATATGTCAGGGGTTGGCACAGTGTAGATGTTCAATGAAATGTCACTGTATGAATGAATGAATGAACCTATATGTTGATGGCACCCAAATCTTTCTCTCTGTAGTTTAGACCCCTCTTCACAATAAGTATTTTCCCCCTCGCTCCAAGAGATCTCTACTTAGATTTCCTCCAGACGCAGACAGTCCCTGTGTCCAAATCACTATCTCCATCACCAACAGGGCCAGCACAGACATCTCAGTGCACAGGATGGCTGATAGAGCCATGTGTTGCCTCCACCCGGTTTTGTGGCCACACCTCTGGGCGCTACTAATAGATTCATCCGATAACATGCCGCAGTAGGCTTGATGCCACACCACATTTTCAGAATAGGCAGGTGAGAAGATAAAGTGAAAGTGTGGTCCTGGGGAGAGTGGCTGGATGTCCGGGGGAGATGTCAGAAACCACTCCAGATTTC